AACGGGCGTCGTAGTAAGACTGCAGTGGTCTTTGCCTTATCTGAGTGATTTAAACTTGAAAATTCAAAGATTTTCATAAAAATGTGAGAATTAAGAACGCGGCTATTTTGACTCTTTCATACGTTTTATCTCCAAGTGATTATTTTTTGTGAACTACTTTTATATTACCAGGGGAACATTTTTATCCGATACTGCATTTCTTTTTTGCCTGTCGTTTAGTCGGTGCCTGCTGTAATTGTCCGTCATTAGTATAATCTGGCTTTGACTGCTGTCAAGTCGCATCGTGACCTATCACATGCTCGTGGAATTACTTGCTGTAATCCACAGCCATGGTTACACAATAAATCTCTGGATCACCATATTTGTTGAGATAAAAATTTGGCTCTGCTAATAGTTAGAATCACGTTGGGTAGAAATGTGCACTGCTGCGTATGACAAACGCGTGTTAATCAGTGGATTTTGAAGATAACGTTGCCCAACATCTGGTCGACACCAAACGTTTTGGTGGTGGGATGCTAACAACTTTCTCCTGTACCAGGGCAGTAAGTGAAAACGATCACGTGAAGTTACCCTAGTGTAACTAAACATACCATGACCAAGCAAAACGTACCGACTTGATTTAAAGGGACCTGGCAACGAAGTGAAGGTGGTTCTGCGTATGGTTTAGGACCCGAAAGCCGTTCTTAACAGGACAAAATTCAGCGCGCAAGCACACCAACGAGACCAAGACATTGCTGTCCTGGCACATTTTAGTTGAACAAATCTGCACGCCTTTTTGCAGTCTCAACTAAATCACGAAATGGTGCGGGACCATAGCTATTTCTCCGTCAAATTCCCTCACCATCAAAACATTTTGGTCGGAGTTATTGTAGTAGACCGTGATGGAACCCACACACCCAAAGAAAACTATAGCAGCTTAATTAGTAACCAACCCAACCTCAAAATTCTCCGTTTTCAGTGTCTAGTTAAACTATCAGTGATCGATTTAATTGTGCGATCTTAACATTGGGATCACATAGTCTATTGACAATAGTGAAGATCCTCGAAGGGCTGATTATCTTACTTCATTGAATTCTATGCAGATAACGACATTTTAAACGTTTCTCACAATTATAACGATCGCTGATGTAGAAGCAGGCATTATCGCTACTACACGACTGTTGATGGCCACCTCCAGTTTGGCATTTTTACATGTTACAGGTTACATAACGTCAGCAGTTTCATTGAACAGTGGCAAATCGAAGGCAATTTGGCCCTGTTCAGCATGCGGACGATTCTGTAACACAATCTCAATCACTGTTTCGTTATTTATTAGGCCAACGTTGGTCACAGCTGAAAGGGCTTTTCGTCCAGCACCCTTTCAATTCTGGTTTAAATGGACGTCGCTAATTTGGGCCGACTTCTTAAAACAGCGCAAATAAGTGGATCTACGTTACACGTGTCTAGTAAGCGAGGGGATTTGCCAACTTCATGTAATTGCAGCTGCGAGTATTTTTAATACGTAGCAGGTTTGGATCTGTGACTAGACGCATGCGGTGTTCGTGACATAATGAATGCGCAACGTGGAAGTAGATAACTGCATACCACGAATCACTGAATCAGCGCCACATAATCGCAACTTGTTCTATTAAAAGGGAGCACACCTAACATGAAAATTCAGGTGGTGTTGCCTAATAAGGCACGAAGTAATGACAATATCGACTCAACCGTTTTTAGGGGCTCTTAAAACGGTCAGACATGGTTTGTTTGCGTAATAATACGTGGGTGTGGCAAGGTGTGATGTTGAATGGAGTGTGTCAAGCTGATCTGACAACTGTACCCTCATTACACCCATGCCTGCGAATCTACTACACGCTCTCGGCTCGAGTTTTCTATTTTTGTGTATAAAGCTGATTACCCCTAGCAGTCCACGTTCAAAAAGGAAAAATTGATGGGTAACCGATGATTCCCAAAGAAGCAGACAAATTGGCCCAAATATTTTGACGGTGCAACATTGACAACAAACGTGTTGCTGTCGACATAATCTTTCCTTCACACGTGCTTTACGCAACATAAAATACTAGCGTCTATCACCTGGGTGGAATTTGTTCGAAACCACACTTCGTGCATAAAGCAAGTCGAGACTGCTTGTTGTTATTTACCTTAAGCGAAAAATTGCAAATAAGCACTAACTGAGTAGGCATGCGGATAAAAGCGCTGGTGCGGCAACAAAAAACATCTTTCTAGTGTGCAAGGCTCCATCCAGAGAAACGTATTTCGGGATATCCTCGACGAGACCTAGCCGGACAATGTTACCTGAACCTATCGCAATCACAGTAGCGTATGTACATACTTTAGTCGCTTGTTGCCCCAATTGCTGGTGTATTTAATCTTAGAAATACCAAGATCTGCCAAACGCTCAGTCGATGGTGTTGTTTGTTTACGGAATGTCAGCGATCCAATTGGCATTAGGCTGAAGCATTAAAGTATTGCTTCGTCAGTAGGACCTCACCACCTAAATTCACTTTTGGCTCCCACAATCGACACACACCAAGCAAGCTAACCCACTTCTAATTAAAAAAAAATGCAAGTGACCGCCGTTCCACCCTTGGTTTTCGTTCGACATTGCCTGGTGACACATGTTAGCTGTAAGGACGATAGGAGCGTTCTCAGCACCACTTTCTCCTCGAATATCTCCCAAACGCGACAATGCCCCATCCGTATGCAGCAGCCCGCACGAGAACTCCATGAATGCCAGTGGCTAACGTCCCCCGCTTTAGACCCTCCCTGACAACACCGCAGAAGACCGAGCTCCCGATGACAAAGCACACTGCGCAGACTACACACCCACTGCTTACCAAAAATGGACACATTTGCACAGAAGAGCTAACGATCGATGACCAAATATTCTCTAGAATTAGGGACTCAGATCCCGCGGACACTGCTCAAATGCTTGATCACACGGCGAAACAATGAGAGGTTTAGCCGAGTACATAGCCTATATTGGTTAAATCGAAGCATGAGCGATTAAAATTAAGTATATACAAAAAATATGTTTATGTTATGACATTTGGAGTGTGGAGAGATCAGGAGCCACAAAAGTTCCCGAACTCCTACAAAAAAAACAGAGGCAAGATGGCCCAAATTGAAAAGCACCCAATTCGCCGCCTTCTGAAGGCGGAATGCAGGAACAGCGACACTGCGAACAATCAATAAGATTCTATAACTAATAAACAGATCATTAGCAACATCCTCATTGATGCTTTGGTAGACGGCAGGATTCAGGGTAAGAAAAACGCACATGAACAAGGTCATGATATAGTCTGGTCACAGACACACGGCAACAGTTATCGAGGTGGATACATTTACGTGCGTGTGTGTGTGTGTGTGTAAGTAGGATTTATGTATAACTGCATTATTGTGCTGAGAATGATATACGATGAATAAAATTGGCAGCGACGGGTTGTGCGGTTTGGGACCTGGGAAATGGGGAGAGGACGGTGCAAGGCAAGAACACTTCCAAGGTTGTTTACCGAAATTTACTCGAGGTAGGGAATATTGTAGCGACAAATTGCACACGGTCGAGGGAGAAGATAGAATCCCTGGCTTTTCTGTTAGTGGAAAGAAAAGGACAAAGAAATGCGTCACAATACGGACACCAATAGCAATTTTGTTGACATCTACTCGTTTGAAGACACATTGACTGTAGCGCCAGCTTTCTGCAGGACGCGGCTTCCGGGCGCAGATGATAATTGGTCGGGCCACTGCGACTGAAGGTCTTCGTCTGCTTGTGAAGCCAAACTCTGCAAGGGAAACGTTGCAGGCTCAAGTCAACATCTGCTAGCGGTACCACCCAACTCATCGTTAATACACAACCCAATTGTAGTATTCACCAAGAGAATTTATGCATCTGGGAAGCTTTACAGCACCTTTAGTGGTGCGCGGGATGGTGGCTGTAGGACTGAGGTTGACAACAACGCAAAAGGGCATGAAAACGAAACGTCAGTTTGCCCGCTGGGTAATTTCTATTTCGTTATTCACGATTCCCATGCATCATTACATTGACGTGTAATTTAATTTACTTCCAACAGAGGGGCGCTTTTATCCAACAAAATTTAACGAACAGGATAGCATCTACTTAATGAGAGGTTTTGGTTAGACAATAAAAACATACATTACAGCCGGCAACACCGTAGTAAAAAAGAAATGATAGCTTACTTTGATTTCTTGTAACTTGGCAACAGCCTCTGCAGGACCTATAACCGATAGGGTACCAGCCAGTTTGAACCCATTGTTCGAAATGAAGGCCGAAACAGCACTGGCATCATGTGCGTTTACGAAACCGACGAGGACATAGCGAGCCGGCAGGTTAGGATGCACTTCGAAGTTACCGTAGGGGCTACTTTCATTGGCAACCCCGTTTTGAAGTTGCTGTTGCTGTTCAAGTGCCGCCAAAATTGTCACTTTGAGAACTTCCAGCGAGAATTGAGGGGTTATGTCGGATACGAGGAGCCACGAGGCACTCCAAATGGCTCTGTCAACATTGGGAGGCGTGGACTGGTGGAAATCAGTGGTAGCGTGCGGTGGCTGAGGCGGACCGACTGCCCAGCGACGATCACCACCCAAGGGACTCGCAGAGGTGAGAGGAAAGACATTGGAGGAAAGATCAGTGTTGGGGAAACCGCTAGACGGGTGAGGGAACTGCGGCTGCGCCGGGGCGTCCCACACGCCACCACCACTACCACCACCTTCCCAGGGCATTCGACGACTCATATCTGCAAGATCAAAAAACCAGAGTTACAGGTGAAAGCAAAAGGCGATGGAAATTGCACATTCGAAATTGCGTACTTCTCTCAAGGCCATAAAACGTTTATATATACGCAGTAAGAATCATGACCAATAACTTGTGATCTGTTCCTTGAGTAGCGGTTCCAGAAGCATTATCACAGACAAATACGAATACGCTATTAAGTCGTAAAAGGCATACGAAATATGCACTTCCGATTAAAACTAAACTGTGCACAAACACAGAGACCAGCACTGCGAGACACGACTGTTTCCGTCAGGGACGATAACGAGAGCACACAACTTCACTCAACTTGACTAGTGAGGAAGTCGGTTGCCGGCAAGGAGAGACAAGGCGGTGCCAAAACCGAGGCCCGACTTACCCATGCATAGTTTCATGTCGGCCATTTTCGAAACCAAGTCCGCCGGAGGGGAAGGGGAATTGAGCATGAGGCCACTGGCACCGCCGCCGCGGGATCCACCACCACCGCCAAAGCCGCTCGGGTGGGTTAGGCGACTTACGGAACTGGCGGGAGTGATGGACGTGGGTGGAGGAGGAGGAGGAGGGATCGGTGCGGTGCGCATCCGCATAAGCATGGCCGCCTCATCGTTGTTGCTACCACCGCCACCTCCGCCAGCGCTGACTGCAGCCACCCGATTCAGTAGGGCGATCTGGCCGTGAACCTGGTTCAAATAGGCTTCCTGAACTTCGATCTGCTGGGAGACCTGGGATTGCTGTATCAGGATCTCCTGGAGCATCGAATTGGAATGGTGGGCTGTTGGACCACCCATATTCATTTTCCGCAATTGCGCATGCTTCATGATGAGCTCCTGAAAAGAAGTGTCCGGCTAACAAGTACACCAGGCCGCACCTACTAATAAACAGCTTTACCATGCACCCAAACATCAATAAGAGGCTAAATAACACAGATTTAAAACTCAGGTGTATATGCATAAGGCGGAAGTACAGACTAGACGCGGGCAATTTCCGTTCAATTAAGTCGAATAATTACTAGGAAATATCGAAGGGGACATATGAAGGGTTTCCAAAACTTAAACCGACTTGTTTTGTTTCAAATCACAACACGCACTAAGCAGAAAGGACATAATACAGTGAGGACCGCCCTATCCTTAAATTGACCTTAGGGGTAAAACCCAAGCGTGTTGCCTTGTAAACATACAAGCAAGCAATAGGGCGTAAATATGAAAATAGGTGAAGGCAGGAATCCATAACACACAAAAGTGATTGCCACATAAAATGAAGGAAGTCAAGTGTCCGCAAAACATGAACCGGAAAAAACAGGCATTCATGCGTATACGCATTTTCTTATCGATGTAATTCTATTTTTTTTTAAAAATATCTAAGACAATTACGGCAGAAAAATTTAAGATTCTTTCTGATTACACTTTAGATTACTTAAACTACCAAAATTAGCATTAAATCATCAACATAGAGTAAGAATCCAAGCAAAAACTTGATTCCTGAGAAAGATGGCGCTGTTTTTGAAAAAAGGTGCTCCTTATCTGATCTGAGGATGACCGTGTCCAGCTACTTAGAATGGCTTGCAAAAGGACGCTATGTTGTGCGCCAGAAAATGTGCATAAAAATGCATACCCTTCGTTTTTTATCCAACTGCATGATTGTCGTCTGCAATTGGCTCTCTCGCATAAGCAACTGATTAAGGAAATCCGAGTGTTGACCCGGTGGAAGTGGTGGCGGTGCAGGGTGCTGTCGCCCTGGGAAGTGAGGTTTGTTCATGTGAAAAGCGGCTGCAGCGGCGGCAGCCGCAGCCCGAGTATCAAATATGTCAAATGTTGGTGCCTGCTGCTGCTGCTGCTGCTGTTGCATATCGGCTGGTGGTGCAGAGCCTGAGGCGGAAGCTGCCATGAGTATAGCAGAAACTGAGTTTATGAGTTGATTAAGGCCTGGGTGCGCGCCACCCGTTCGGTCCCGCAATTCAACTAAAACAAAAGCAGCCAAAGTTGAAAACCCTGTGCAGCAAGCAGGTATCCACCACTCACCTACCCACATAGCCCTGCAATCGCCATTACGGTTGGTGTCAATAAGCAGGATCAACACCAAGACCGAGACAAAACAGCTATAAATTGACTAGAGGCAACTCCTCCACATTCCACTAATAAACACATGTAAACCGTCTGAAGGATTTCCAAAGAAGCCAAGCCAGTTAATTCAAAAGATATTTTAAAATAGGTTCTGCAAGTTTGGGACCATTTTATTGGAACACACTCAATGTGGATGATTTAAATTTATTGGTAGTAAGGCCTACGAACTGCCATGAGTTCAAATGAATCTAATAATGGGACATGCCTAATTTCTTATTGTTCCCCTTATATCGTCTTCCCTACAGTTTCACTCAACTGAAGCATAGTGGTAAAATGGGAAAAAAATTCAACGCTTGTACCAGTTAACGCATCATCATTTTACATACGACGACTGTACCATAATGCGGTCAGGTAGCATACAATCAAGCTATCCTACATGGATGTCAAGTTTGATCGCAATGCTAGTTTATCGGGAGAGCACCAATGGAGTATGGAGCCAACGGGGACGCGTTGTGAAGGCAGGTACAGAGAAGTACCAGAAAATATGGCGACTCACAGAGAAATCTTTCTACGTCGTCAATGGTGTGGTCGTTGAAGAGGGCACCAGCCTCGTCATGAAAGCCTAGAACCATGAGTTGACGGGCAATGTCAGTGCGCAGGGCGGTGGCAGCGCCAGCAGGGATTGGATTCGGTGTTAATAGACGAATTGGAGGAATGGAGGCATTTTGGCGAAGATGAAAGCGCTGAGGTGCGGATGCTGCCTGTTGAGGCCAGGGGACTAACTTTCGAGGATCTACTGCAGTCGTGCCTGTCTGCCAGGGATTATCATTGGAGGAGGGGGGCCAACGGCATTCACCCAGTGATACCTGTTGCTTGCTGATAGTTCGACCCGCCTGACCATCGGAACTCCACGACGCTGTAGGCGCTATAAACCGTTTCGGGTCATCTATAGGACCTGAAGAGAGAAAAAAGGCAAGTGCAGTAATGCGCGGAAAACCGCATAATGACTAGGGGATCAATTTGTCGACTTGAACAAGCGATTTCATCCCTTTGAATCGTCCTGTAATCCATGTTGACTTCTGGTAATACGGGACGATGTAGAGCCCTAGGTCGATCAAGTAAGCTAGTTTTCAGAGGTTATGCACAGCAGACCCAAGTACGGATTTTCGTGAACTCAGCAACTATGTGCTAAACAAATTGCAAAACAGTCAATCCACTAACGCTAATACTACAAAATAATTTCTGTTTTCGTGAGTTCAATTAAAAACTAATTCGCTGGACCAATATTGATTTATCTGCCACTCAAAATATACAGATTGCCCAAGTTCTAACTCAGTTTGTGTAAAAACGTCGCGGTGAACCTACATGTCAATAACACGACTTAATAAACACCCTCAATCAAGACTGCGCGCTCCGGTCATCTATGAAAATCTTGTAAATATGAAGAGTTCATTGCTAGTTCAATTACGCAAACTTCACAGGATTGTAAAAAGTACATTGCCGTAACGTACTACTCAAGCGAAGCAAATGTACTAGCACCATAAAACTCATTAGCAAGTTACATTTTGTGCAATGCAACAAAAAGACTCAGCGACACATGGTGCATACCTCCGATTTCGATAAAATTAGCCAACATGACTGAATGAGAGCCTGTGCAGCGGAACAGCGTCAGACGAAAATAAGTTTGAGAGGTACCTATGCGCACACAAACTACCTCCATTAAAGAAGGAGCAGCAAAAGCACAAACATCGGGTGGCGAAGTGGCTATAACCATAACTACAACTAAAAGCCAAATCTAAAATAACACGGTGTTTCATGAATAATTAACATATGAATATAGAACCTCGAGATCATGAGAAAACAGGAATTTAATACCTACGAATTAACTTACTTGAACTATCAGTACTTAGTGGAAGTGGCCAGCCTGATGAGCCCGGAGCAGCTGATTGAAGGGGTTTGAAGTTGCTGGTGCCTCCGAGAATCCCATTTGGACCGCGACCAGAACCTGGTGTCTGACCGAACCTTGGTTGCGGCTGCTGGGGGAAAAAGCTGGTTGGGAATGGACGTGACTGCTGTTGTTGTTGGACAGGAGAAGGCTGAAGTGGGTGGGGTTGGGTTATAAACGAGGGAACGAGACGATGGGTTCCTGGAGGAGAATTAACGTCAGACGCAAGCCTCGAAGTACCAGATGTTGTGGAAGCAGTTTGTTTCCAACGAGCTGTTCGCTCGCCCAAAGTCTCGTAGTGTGTTTCCCAGATAGAGGTCCCTGTTGGTGGTTCACTGGACCAAACATTAGATTCAAGAGATGTGCCCTGCTTTGGAACCAAGTTACTTCCAGCTCCCTTAATTCCACGTCTCTGTTTCAAAGCGAGAGAAACTGCGTCACCAAGCAACCCAGTCGAGGTCTGATTCCCTGATGCGTTGAAAGCCACAGCAGACCCCGCGCCGGAGTCATCAGTAGTGAGAGTTGTATCCCAAGGAGTCGATTGGTCAACAGGACGCTGGCCCCAACATTCTTTGGTGTTGACCAGCGCTTTTAATATTGTCTCATTTTCACAAAGGCCATCAGTGTGATTACCAGATTCGCTAGCGCTTGAGCAAACAGGAGCGGACCCTTCCCCAGACTGTGAGCAGTTTTTGGGCATCTTGCTTTCAGAGGTAGACGGTAATTGGTCTAAAACAAATCAGTGCGTACGAATAACGAAAGCATCAAATATCACACAGTAAAATAAAACATACTAGAAAATGCATTGAAATCTCCCTCAGGTTGGGAACCCCAGCTAGAGAAACTTTCACCACGGGGTTTGTTGCTGCTAACGCTGGAGACACGTTGGCGCGAATTAAATGCAGTGTCACCCACTGAAACGTTTCCACCACCCGTTATAGCGCGAGGCACAGCTACCGGTTCGACTGTGTTGGCGGATCGAGCTGAATCGACAGGTGACCAGGAATCAGGCTGGTCATCAGTATCACCTAAAGACCGGAGCGCCAATGCCGTACCAGGAGCACTCCACTGCAAAGTAAACCACACATATAATCATGAAAGGTTAGAGCAAAAACTAATAACACTAAGAAGGCAACTAACCGTATTCGAAAGCGAGAAATCGGAGAAGGCATCTCCTCTGGAGCCCCCAACTAATTCGGCAGGAGTTGGCCACTGCGAAGACTCAGGTTTACGCGAGGTAGACGAATCTGGCAATATCGGCCAAATTTCGCCACCTGCATTTGTATCTAGAAATTTATCAAGAAATCTACTCTTACCACACCAGGGAGCAGAATTATTCAAATCTCCAGGCAGCGTCGCCAAGTTTGGCTTACCTATAAAGTTATATTATATATAGAGGGCCCCACACGAACCAAATATGCATGACAATAACAACATTACCTGGAGTCCTACTCCAAGCATGCAGGGAACAATTGTTATCTCCAATATCGCCACCTGTATGTGACATTTCAAACGAGACTCACGCCAGCGACATTTAATTCGGTTATGCCACAAAACCCTACGATTATAAGGAAGCCATAAGATCAGTAATTACAAAAGGCAACTTTTCAAAAAATACGACTCAGAAACCAGCAACTCACAACGACGTATTTAACAATGGCGGCTCGGCAATTTCAACTTCGGCGCCACATTCGATTTAAAACGGATTAAACAACAAATTCAACAGAATATCCCGAGTCGAATAGTAAATTATATTAAAAAGTGTTTTTAATGTATACGACACTACAGCGCGTGATACATTTTGAACGTACAAACGTAAGACCGTCTAAGAACATTTCACAATTGATTGTAATTTCAGGCTATTTAACTTAAATATTTAGTGCAAATGAAACACTTCTTGGGTCCTAAAAAGATACTTTAGCAGCATTTATTGAGATTCTTGATTGATTTGTAGCAAAATTTTTAACCCACATTTCTCCCTTTTATTTTTCACAGTTTTATTTTTTTATATTTAATTTCACAATAAATGCCAAATCATCATCTATTTGAACTGCGTTTCCGAAAGGTTAATTCAAGTTGTTTAAAAACGTTTTACAATCAAATCGTGCGAATTATTTTAAAGACTGCGTATTTTCATTCTTACATATTAACAAGGCAAAGCTAATAGGACATTATTAATTATTTTATTTTCAATAATAACGTTGCAGTTACAATAATTTATTGTTAGTTATTAACCCACTCGTCATCAGTCACTTTCATGGTTTATAACATTTAATTGAATTGATCTGAAAAACCACTTGATTCAGCGTCAGAGCGCTTTTATCCCAAAATTTCAATGACGTTAGAACAATACGTTTGAATACATTTCAACTCAAGTAGATGATGGTTAAATGAGGCAATATGCATTAATCTTTTTTCTGCATAATGCAATTTAGACGTGTAAACCACTACTGTAATCAATTCCAAGCTACTGCCTGGACTTGATTGTGGGAAAAATAAAGAAAAAATGCTACAAACTTGCATTAAAAATGTCGAGATTTAAATACCTGAGCAAAGACCGAAATTAAGAAAGGCAGTTTAGGTACATCCGTTTGTTGATTTTTTTCATAAGGTATGGCAACTTGCATACACATCCTAAAAAAGCAGTCCGAAGTTTGGGTGTCAGTGGAATGAATTTCGTTCAGGTGATTACTCAAAATAATCTCTTTGAGAACATCACTGCGGCAGGATTTAAGCGTGCTAATATTTATTCAAGTAGATGAATTCAGACGATTCGCAATGTTCACCATGTTCTAAAGTAGTCCATCACAAGTACTAACCTCCATTCACATGTGATTTTTAATAAATGTTCCCCTACTGTTGTTCCTTGATCTTATTCAATCTAGTATCCCACCACTTCCTCTCCATCAAAAGCGGCAAACTTAATTCACCAATGAAATGTCCTGAAGTAGGTTGAAGAGTCGATAGCATTTAGACCAAAATGCAAGGTAATGAGAGGGATATGCGCGGGTTCGCAACTTCACTGTTGACGAATCATTGAGTTATTGGGCTCACATACTCCCATTGCCTTCAATTAATCAATGTGCCTGAACAACCTAGATGTTGTCAACTCA